AATCAGCAGCAGCAGCACCTCCAGTATAAGCTGAACCACAGTAGAGACAGAGAGAATGATTTAAAGATTAATAGCCTCACAGATAAGCACACAAACCACTCACCAACTTATTTATTATTTATTTATTAAATTTCTAGGCTGCCCTCCCTTGCGAGCAATGCTCTGTCTAAGCTGTGGATTCTTGTGAGCAAAAATTCTACTTTGTGAGCTACTGGCATTAAAGCTGTGAACAAGCGATTTGGCTGCTGCATAAATTAGTTTGCTCTGGAGCCATCCTTCTTGAGCTAAGGCAAAAAATGTGTGAGTCGAAGGCTAAAAAACTGTGAGTTAGCACTCACTGACTCAGCTTAGAGGGAACACTGCTTGTGAGCAGGGCTCAGGGTGGCATACAACAGAGATATAAATATATAAGTTAAAAATCTTAAAACCAACAAAAGAAAGCAACAGTCCCTAGTAAAAAGAGAGAAGAGATTCTTCTCCCACAGAGAGAAGAAATTTGCCTCCCTGAGATATATACCTGCGATCTACTTGGCAACAAGTCACTTAGCAGCCAGTCGCGTCTGGGCATGGATGGGTTAACATCAGGATGTTTGCTACAGACACTTTCTTGGGGTAGTAATGTCTGATGCCCTGAGCACCTGCTGCCCAGTGAGCTACTGCTCTCCTCTTGTTCCCAGGTGACAACAGCCACAACAGTCAGTTCAGCATTTGAGATGCTCAATGGAGTCAAGGTATCTCTATGGTGCTGCTATGGCACTGAAGTGCTATACTGGTTTAGTGCTTTAGCACTCACATTAGAAAGTTCAAAAAGACTCCGAGGAAGATTGCACATGCAGCAAAAAATGGTGGCAGAAGTGGCATTGTAGGAAGTACTACGGGAATTTTAAACAGCACACGACAGCAATTCAGAAATGCAACGAAGGAGTACAAACAGGAAGAAAGTGGTTTCTGTCAAGAGCGGATCAACCACGTTTTGCTAACCCAATACAAGCTGGTTTGTATGAACAGGTAAATAAATTCCATTAGTGGCCAGTTATTAAAACAGGTCTGTCTGAAATGACAGAAAAATTCTCTTAGCAACCAGTCACTAAAATGGAATACAAAGGCAGTTTGAAAAGGGTCACAGTGTTTTTACTGATATGCAAGGAGACTGGATTGCAGTATGGAATGGGGGAAGTTGCTTGCCAAGGAGATTTTCATTTACGTTACAGTTACATTCTACAGTCCACAGAGCTGCTTTAAAATTTATGGTTATAAACACAAATCTGCAGACACATTTCCCAATACTTATTACAGCAGTCTGGTTTCCTGCCCAGCTGTCATGAATATGGACCAATATGGACCGTGTCGTTAACATTTTCTACACTGCTCCACACCTTCTGTTTAATTAAACAGAGGGAAGTAATAGAAAGGAGCTGGGACAGTGTTGAGCAGCAGGACTGCTATACTATCCTCTCAAGTAGTAAGGCAAAAGATTTAAAGGTTGCATCACAACTGTCTGATTTATATGCAGGCTGACCTTATTTTGGCAGTGCGACAACCTACAGGGAGCATAGCGCACATCAAGGTCCTGTAAAAAAGCAGCACAAAGTGCAAGTTCAGAGAGAAAACAAAGCTGATACTGCTGGCAAAATCTGTGGCAACCCCTCTATTCAAGCAATATCAGTCCTCCTTGTGCCACTAATTACAGGATCGTGGTGAAATAAATTCAATCAAGCTGCTCTTTCATGCACAAAACCAGTTTTGACCCAGAGGACTATGAGTGGAGTCCTGCTTGTGGGATGGATCTGGGTCATTTCCTCCTTTTTTCATTTGCATCATCCACCCCCTGAAAAGATGTTCCTTAAGGGTCAGGATGAGGACTGAAAAGTTGGTTCATATGGTTTATTTATGTTATTTATAGTCTGCTATTATCACAGGGACTCAAGGTGGATTACACAGAGCGAGTCAGTACAATCAACAAAATGGGACATTAAATAAACAATGCATTAGGATTTTTGTAGTCTGGAACCACCAGAAAGAACTGAAGCATAGCATAAGTAACAACAGGACACATTAAGCAGTAGAGAAATTACATAACAGGATCCTACCTACAGTAAGCTATACACAGCACTATAGACCACAGTCTATACTGCTACACAGACCATGTAAGCTTGTGAACCACTGTATATGGTTATGCATATTAGGACCGTAGCACATAAGCCAAGAAACCGACAGTTCTGCACTAGTGAAAATGATCGCATATTCAGTTCCCATGGTTCCCCCACAGTATAGATGGAAAAATCCACAAAGGGGAGCACCCAAAGCTAGAATGGTTTTCTGCAAAGTCAGAAAAGTTACATATCCAAGACCTGCTGCCCTGCTTAAAACCTTCCTTAGAATTTCCTGAAGGGCTTATGGCCCTTTAGAATGCACCAGGCAAACTAACTTTCACCTGATATTTTGCAAAGGTCCCCAAGACCTTCAGGAAATTTGAAGGAAAATCTAAGTGAGTTGGCTAGGCAACCCAAAACATCAACTGCCCTTTTAAAGAGGCGGGAGGAATGGGGCAAGAAGGGGCAATGAAATTTATCCCCCCTTTCAGATTTCCCTTTTGTTAATTCTAACAAACAGTATTATGCATCTTGTGCTAAAAAAGCATACAGCTTATCTTGTTTGATTATTTACATATTTTCTTGACATTCACAGTTAATTGTATTTGACCAAAGTAAATTACTCAGAAAAGACTTTCAAAGTACAGCTCACATATAGCAAAATGTTTGAGACATTGAACAAACAATGCTGAAGTGTCTGCACTGTGCACAGAAAATTTTGCACTGAAGAAACAACCTTTAAGCAAATCAAAAGTCCCCTTACTTTGTACAAACATTTAAGTGTATCCAACTGAGATTATTTCATTTTACAAGAAGAAATGCTGTAGCAGAAGAGATGGAATGAGCATTATAGGGCATAGTTAGGCAAAGTGACTGGCAGCCAACAAGGGAATGCCGTTTCACAGTGCACACACAGTTCCAGCCCCGCCTTTGGAAAACACCTGTGTGAAGCCACGACAAAAAATAATTTTCAAATTAATGCAAGGTAAGAGTCTCAACATTTTGCACCATGAACCTCATGCTAAGTGTGAGAAATTGTAGAAACATCTGGGATGAAGTCAAATACACCCAATCCTACACCCTCAGGGAACTAATGCTGGGATATTCTAACACCATTTAGGAAACACACGATGTGAAATTTAATCAGCATTCCACAGAACCATACTAATTTACCTTTTTATAAAAGCCAAAGGAGAAATGTAGTCTTCATGATATTAACAAATATCAGAAGACATATTCTGGGTTTTCAAAAACTAGCAAGTTCCCTCCATCATAAACTTCATCACTCCAAACTCATTTTCTCCATATATTACAGGGCTCAAGTTACACTAAACACTACTGTGAAGGTCTGGGAAACATCACGATTTCACCCATATTTTCAAGCATCTGCGGCTATTGCACAGGTGGTGCTACAAGAGCAGAAAAGTTGTGACCCCAAGGTTAACTTAATGGATATTTAGGCTTCATTGAAACAGAAGGTAGTCTAATAACCGTGGTTGGCACATACAGAACAAAAGTGAACACACAAAGATATAAAGCATCTGTTTATTGTATGTGAACACTGAAATGAGTCAGACCACCCCACATAGGATGAAGAAGGGCTTCATACTTAAGTGCACAGTGTTTTAACTCTTAACTTCCTAAAGTGAAGTCTGTTGTCTGCTGCATAGTGCTCCAGTTAGCTATCCTACGTCGTAACAGCATATAATATACGTTTGTTTAAAAAAAAGAACGCTATTTAAAACTTTCCTGTTCCAGATAACTTTCTTGATAAATGCCCATGTGGAAGAACATATTTGAAACATAATCACATACAATCTCAAAGTATTGCCCATTATTCACATTCTTTCAGATTTTCATCAAGAAACTGACTTCCCTCTATTGTAAAGCACATATTCAACCCCTTTGGTAACCTGCTGCAAAGCAGAAAATAGCTGTGTTTCACAAACTAGAATGCCACAAGGAAAGTGGTGGACTAACACTGCATTAATCAATGACAACGTGCCGGACATCTGCAGTGCTAGTAAGGTCACTCTCCAGTTGACAGCAAGCCTGTGTATTACCACCAAGCAATTATCACCATTGATTATGTTTTCACGGCACTTTCTCCAAGGTGCTTGTGGTAGAATGCATGTTTCTTCTCTCCTCTCTTTTATCCTCACAACAATCCTATGGGGTTCACCTAAGACAGTATGACTTGCCCAAGGTCACTCAGTGAACTTTATGTATGAGTGCAGATCTGAACCCAGAACTCCCCAGTCCAATAATCTAAATTACTATACCACCATTGGCACTCAAGCCTTGCATACAAGCTCAATTGCAACAGCAATTACAACTCCCACTTTTAACTAAGTAAAAGACACCTCTAGGTAAGAAGAAGAAGAAGAGGAGAAGAGAGTGGATTTATACCCCGCCCTTCAGTACCCAAGGGAGTCTCAGAGCGGCTTACAAACTCCTTTCCCTTCCCCTCCCCACAATAGACACCCTGTGAGGTAGGTGGGGCTGAGAGAACTCTGACACAAACTGCTCTTTTAGGAACAGCTGTGCCAGAGCTTGTGACTGACCCAAGGTCACAGCAGCAGGTGAAAGTGGAGGAGTGGGGAATCAAACCCGGCTCTCCCAGATTAGAGTCCGCACACTTAGCCACTACACCAAACTGTAAGCACAACTAATTACAGAAGCTCACACAAAATTTAAGGTCATGCCACTCTAAGCCAATTTGGGGAATAAACAGGGCAAATTGGAGCATTTTTAGAAGACAATGTAAAGAATCAGAATTGACCAATGGAAGACTGATATATAGAAATCCTATCCAGGTCAGCTTTTAATTTCTACAGGTGGGCTTGCACTTAGGTCTAATGCAGACATGCAGTTAAGATCACATGCATTTTCTATGCTTTCCCTTACCTTCCGTTGCTTTAATGTAATATCCATTCTCTTTGCTTGGTGGGACATCCAGCAACTGCATAACTCTATCCAGCAGCCCATGAATCACCTCAAAGCCAGGGTTTTTGTTATGGTAAACAGCACAAAGATGCCTGTGGTTTCTTGCACCTACATCTGAAAAAGAAACAAGCAGCTACAATTACAGATTTTGTCAACATCGCGTTTAAAGGATTTTGTGTTTTTAATCCTATTTCACATCAGTCTCCCTTTATACCTACTGTATTAACTATTATAGATCAAAGGGCAATCGGCCATATTTGGGTTTCCCCCCCTTACAAATACTCTTTCCTTAGGCCTAGTTCCCATTGACACAGTCAACTTGTTGCCAGACTGCACCACTTCAAAATGCAGAGGGGGGGGGGGTGAGGTCACAAGATTGATGCTCTCCTATACAAAAACACCCTTCCTTCTGTTTTTTTGTTTTGTTTTGTTTGTCTTAACACCATGCAGAAAAATATCATGTGTCTTGGAAAAAACTACCTTCTTACCCTACCCCCCAGTTGGGGAGCATTCCACCAGCCTTTTCCTGCTGTTCAGGTGGTACAATTCAGACACACACTGTAGTCTGGGTCTCAAAGAGAAGCACCAACCTCTGTTTAACCCCACACAGATCTAGATTCCTTCCTATTAACAACAGGCAGATCTGAAATACTGTAATTGATAATGAAGTTCATTCATTACATGCTACAGACTTGCTGCCAAACCTAAGCTGAGCTTTCTTGGACTAGCCTCATTCTAATCAAGTAGAAACCTTTCGTCACATTCCATAAAGGAATTCTGTGGTTAGATCAGCATAAATTATATATGTACTGCAGAGACTTAAATGAAGATGCCGTTCCACACCATTCTTAAAGAATGGCTTTCTACAAGCCAAGAAAATGCATTGAGAGAAATAAAACTGGTGTTTGCTGCCCTCTAGCAATGGAAAAATTGCACTGGGCATAGCTGTTAAAGGGGTTTGGAATCTGTTGTGAGCTCTGTGTAGGCTCTTACCCCTGTAAACAGATGAAGCTGAACCATTAGAATCCCCTCTTGAGTTTAAGGACCATCTGAGCATCCATTTCCCACATCTTCACTCCTTCCTCTCAAGACGATGCCTTCCTATCGAATTACTTTAAAACTAGGGGGACCATTAAATATTAATGCAATGTAAATACAACAGGGAAAGGGTAACTCAAAGCAAAATGAGTAGAAGTGCTAGTACTGTGCAGAATATGACCTCTATTCACTTTTCTTTTCTAAAAAAGAATAATTAAATAGGGTAAAATTCGCCACACACTTGGGGAATGACTCAGTCCACAACAGGCAAACGTTCATGTGCAGAAGCTTCCTGGACAATCAAGAATCCTGTTTCTGCACTCCCCCACCTATGCGTGCACAAAGTCAACAGGATGAGTGGGAAGGGTCTGTGTTTGCAAACTCCATACCTAGGATTAAATTTGGATTGAGCAGAGAGAGAGACTGGAAGGAGGTATGCAGTATCCTCCCCTTGCCCCTGATCGCCTGTCTCATTACCTGCACAGGAGAAGCAAAAACCAAAGTCTCACTGAGTCCGTGAGAATTCTCTGCAAGTAAGTGCTGCAAATACGGTGGACCCAATAATGCCCTTAATTTTTAAAGTTATCAGTGCTGAATTTTACTACTCTTACCTTTGGTGGAATCTTTTACTACAATGTCAGAGATCTCAAAGAGTTTCAGAGGTAGAGGCATCTTCCTGTTACTGGCAATAGTTTTCAGGAGACCAGGCAAGAGGGTAGTACGTGCCACCTGTTGGTCAAATGCGGAATTGTATATATGAAAGCTTTTGTAAATTACATCTTCCTCAATTCAGAGCACAGCACACTATCATAGGAGGGAGCAGAATATCAACGTTAATAGTAAATACATTCATTCTTCCCTTTATTTTTCTTCTCTCCCAGCAATTCCCACTCTGCCAGCACAGTGCAAGACTCATGCTAGCCTTATAAGTAGGGATTATCATATTTTATTTGCCTTTTTGATTATGTAGAGCTTTCACACAAGTGGCAAATGAAATTAATTTAGTGTGAGAATATATTTAATTTCATTGTTATTGAATATATTTAATTTCATTGTTACCAGATAAGATCCACAAGTTTTGAGACCTCTAAATGGCCTCCACATTAAAATCCAGTCATTGTATCTCATTCCTAAATCCCCAGAAAGCAAAAGCTGTTTCTTAGCTATAGTCCTATTTAGGTTTGACATAATATAAAGGTTAACTGGAAATGTTGGGATTCTTCATTCAAGGTCGATGGTTGTATTGCAAACACAACAGCCACACTTAGTAAAAGAAAAATATCTTTACTATAAAAACAAAATAAAACATGGGTATGGTACTTTGGATAAAAGAAATAAAATAAAAAGTTACATACTTGCAGTTACTCTCAGTAATATATGCTAACAGCTACATCTTTCTATCTGTCTTGGCTTCTAGAAGAGAACTACCTCTTTTGGTTCACACAAAGGGCCATAAACTTGTGAATACATTAATGCTAGATCAAAGCATTTCTACCAACAAGATGTTAGTTGACCAATACAAAGGTTACAGGTCACTTCATTAGCGTAAACAACTCCCACAAACTTTCCCGCCATTGAATACATTATGTAACATAACATCCTGTTTGCTAACAAACAACATTTAACTCTGTAATGGCTGAAGTGTAAGCAACTTGCAATTCCAACAAACTTTCACTTCTCACCTGAAATTCTGCTGTTTTTGGATTCGCTATATGCACTGCTTTTGTTGCAGAGATGTCGATCCCCATTTTGTTAGCAATGTCTTCTTGAGAACACTAAAAATAAGGGGGGGGGGAGCAAGTTAAATTAAAGTGCAAAAATTCTTAATGGCAAAACCTCCCCCATCAGTATGACCACCAAGTGGCTGTAGATCACCCAGATAAAGGGTGGAACCCCTACCCTTACATTTGAGAGCATGGGAACAAAGTTTGAGTCAAGTGGCATCTTTAAGACCAACAAAGTTTTATTCTGGTTATAAGCTTTTGTGTGCATGCACACTTCTTCACATACTGCGGGCCCTGGCAGAAGTTTGAGACAGTGTAGTGGGAGACCAAGCTACTGACACAGCTGGCCACCAAACCGGGGGGGGGGGTTGTCCCCATCTTGGATGATTAATATAGGTATAGCACCGTATTATTGGAAGGTTTTATTGTGATTTTAAATGTTTTATTTATTATATACTGTATTGTATTTTGCACTCGGCTTTGTCGCATGTGATCCGCCCTGAGCCTTTGGGAGGGCGGGATATAAATTAAACTAATAAATAAATAAATAAATAAATAAAATACACTGAAACAGAAATCACCATGGGCTCTATTCTAAGACCCTATGCCATCAACACTCCTAGTTACGTGCATGACACCACAGTTTTTCTGAGGAAAATATAATCTTTGAACAGCCTTCCAGAGAATATTATTTTAGCTACCATGGATATAGAATCTCTGTACACCAACATCCTACACAAAGATGGATTACAAGCCATATGAAAGATGATTTCTGACAATACCACAGCTGACATTTCCTCCAAACTCTGCCACTTTGTTCTCACCCATAACCACTTAAAATCTGGTGACAACTTGTTTCTTCAGATCAATGGTACAGCCATGGGCACCCGCATGGTCCCACAGTATGCTGACTTGGAGCAACGCTTCCTAAACTGCCACCCACTTACACCTCTTTTATACATCCGATACACTGATGACATATTTTTTGTCTGGACACATGGTAAAGCAGCCCTGGATAAATTCCACCAGGCATTCAATGACTTTAACCACACCATCAACCTGATAATGAACCAATCTATGCAAGAAATACATTTCCTGGACACTTTTGTACAAAAAGAAGAAGAAGAGGAGGAGGAAGAAGAAGAGGAGGAAGAAGTCGAAGAAGAGGAGGAGGAGGAGGAGGAGATTGGATTTATACCCCGTCCTTCACTTGGTGTCTCAGAGCGGCTTACAAACTCCTTTCCCTTCCCCTCCCCACAACAGACACCCTGTGAGGTGGGTGGGGCTGAGAGAACTCTGACACAAACTGCTCTTTTCCAAGGACAGCTGTGCCAGAGCTTGTGACTGACCCAAGGTCACATCAGCAGGTGCAAGTGGAGGAGTGGGGAATCAAACCCGGTTCTCCCAGATTAGAGTCCGCACACTTAACCACTACACCAAACTGGCTCTCCAATACATGATGGATGCATAGACACCATCTTATATCAGAAACCTATGGACTGACAAACATATCTACATGCCTCCAGCTACCATCCTGAACATACCAAACAATCTGTTGTATACAGCCAGGTTCTATGCTACATCCACATCTGTTCCAATCCTACAGAGATTCTCATCTGAGGGATCTACAACAAACCTTTTTGGAACTAAAATATCCACCTGATGAAGTCAAGAAACAGATTAACAAAGCCAGAAAGACACCCAGAGAAAAACTGTTGCAAGACAGGCCCAAAATAGACAATAACAGATCACCACTAGTGGTTACATTCAGCTGTCAACTCAAAAAAAGTCAACGCATCATTAGTGATTTACATTCTCTACTGGATGACAGTTTTCTTTTGCAAGTACTGGGGGCAAACCTCTTCTTGCGCACAGACAGCCCCCCAATCTTAAACAACTTTTCACCCACAATAATACAACATCTAATTTGAACATCAACACTGGTACCAGAACTTGCAATAAACCCAGATGCCAACTTTGCTGCCATATTGGTGGGATATTAGCTACAAGTTGCCAACATTTCAGTCACAGAGTTAACTTGATGTTTGCATGCAAACAGGATGTTACCTAACTAAGCTGTAATCAGTAGTAGTAGAGCTTATACCCAGAATAAAACTTTGTCGGTCTTAAAGCTGTTGCTGGACCCAAAATTTGTTCTTCTGCTTCAGACCAACACGGCTAGCCATCTGAATCTTTTTGAGAGCGTGGACACTGAGGTATAATTTACTAATGATTATTGAAGACCTTTAACAATGAACTGTGAAATTTCACACAGTGAGCTTAAACACCAGCTTACAAACAGCCCATTAGAAATCAACAGGCCAACAAGATGAGCAGAAATCAGTGCAGCTACTACCAGTGCAAGGTCTGGAGCAAAATAAGTTAATATTACACCATGACATCCTTAACATTTCTTTGTTGGTTATTCTGATTTTTTTTTAACCCAGAAATCACTGAGATGACAAGGGAATGGATATAAAGATCAAATATGTGCAAGCATATTATAAACCTAGGAAAGCACCACACTATACTTGGTGCCATATATGCAGTTCCCATCGTGTCCCTCCCATACAGATCAAAAGAGCCACAAAGGGCACCCAGAGATAGACACGGACCGATTCCCCATGAGCAGCTGTGCCGCTGTCGCTCTTCCATTTCCCCCAGTTGCATAGGTCAATTTCACACTATTCGCTGCATGGACACATTTTGACCTGCATCTCCCCCCAATTTCCCCCACGTCTTCTCGATCCTGTTTTTTGAGGATCGAGAAGATGTGGAGGAAATCGGTGGGGGGATGCGGGTCAAAATGTAGCCGTGCAGTGAATAGTGTGAAATTGACCTATGCAACTGGGGGAAATGAAACACCGATGGTGGCACAGCTGCTTGTGGGGAATCGGTCTGTATGCTTCTGCAAACCTGGAGTAATCTCAGATTTTAAAATCTATATGTATATGTCTATGTGTGTGTGTGTGTTTGTAACACTACAATTAAAAGTGCATGCAAAATGTGAACAAGGTAAGGATCAGCTGGGGGAGGAGAATGTGTGGAATGATGGGAAGGAAAATGCAAGAGTGAGAATTGGGGAACAAGAAACTCACAGTTAGGAAGGTTGGAGAGAAAGCCAGAGCAACAGGGGAGAAAGCAGGAGGAAGAATTTCCTCACATGTCGTACACGTGTATTTATAACAGCTGGCTTTTATGGTAATATTTAGTTTCTTGGCAAATTTAATAATACTTGATGGAGTTCGCATCTTAGCAAAACACAAGGCACTTTCTGATCTGAAGCTCGACTATAAAGCCAGTAACATTTTCAGCTGCAGGATATTAAAAAATCCAGTTTATAATTCAGAGCCCCTTCTAGGAATTTTCTTGAGCTTTCTTGGCTCCTCTCTCCTGTAGCGGCCCCAAATGCCACCCGAATCCTGTTCCTGGGGGAGAGGAGCCTGGGGGAGAGGTAACACCAGTGGAGATGGTCCAGAAGGTCACAGTCCACAGGTGGAAGTCTCTGAACCCGTGGAAATAGTGCACTGGATCCAACCCATTGAATATACAGCCATTTCAAAACTTTTTATGATCAAGCTACACATCCTGGAAGAATTACACTCAAAAAGATGAAAACGTTTCCAGGCAACATTGTGTTCCATTCTAATAATTTCAACTTGCAGTTTTATAATTTAAACCAGTCATATCATGTTGATCCATATCATTCTGGAATCCACATTACAAACTAGAACAATCATAGAAGCTGGCTTTACTCATCAGTTCTTTTCTGTTCAGCAGGTCACACAGAGGTCAGCCAGGGGCTAATGCCTGTCAGTAAACGTAGTTCCCACCCAGCTCTGGTTCTGCTGGATCATTAACATCCCAGAGTTGAAGGTAGCTTGCTTTCCAGGCAGCCACAAGGTGCCCATAAGGGAAGCCCTTTATTTTTTGTTCTCTCTGATTGGATTAGGCAGAGGGAAGGGAAAGCATGGTTAGAATGTTACCCAAACTGGATGCCTCCTAATTAAGTTGGAGAAATTAGCGTGATTGGAAACCAGCGAGAGAGGGTAACTAGGGAATCTCCACCAATGTTTATGGGCATTGTTCCCTGAGATCTCTCAAATAAATGGACAGCAGTACTACAGGAAAAGGTGTTCTATTATAAAAAGAATAAAAAGCAAACGTACATACAAAGCACACAGGGGAAACACATATGCTATCTAAGAGGAGAAATAAAAGGGAGTAGCGGGGAAAGTGATTCAGGGAAGGTGATATTTACCAGGTCCTGGAGGTCAAGATCCACAGAAGGCAGCGAGGGAAACAGTCAGCATTTCCCAGAGAGGAGGAAGCCCACAAGCAAATGGGGGTGCAATGTTGAGCACTGAGAGAACACACACACACTGCACAAGGCAGAGTGTGTCCAGTTATAGGAAACGTTAGCTCTGGGGGCAGTCTGACATGTGTGCCCCTAAAACAATACCTTGATTGAATTTCCCAGGGTGAACAAAGACCTGGGGAAGCTTGTGACATTTTGCATGAGATGGGCTAATGTTCCTTGATGAGATTGTGTGATGCTACCTAAAGATGTTAGAGTTCTCTAATGACCCTTGAATTTGGGATGGGAGAGGCTATCGGTTGTATGAACAGCCAATTAATTAGTGTTGGTGGGCAAAAGAGGAAGCATGACCAGGTATGAGCGGGGTGAGGTCCAGGTAGGGTGCTGTCTTCCCAAGAAACCCATTGTTGAGATGAAGTATCTCTTTTAGGGTGGGGAGGAGAGCCATTAGCAAGTCAGTACCCTGCATCAGGCCAGGCTGTACAGTACACGCGTGGTTTTGGGGGGGTGATATTAAAAGAGGGGCATCTGGTCCCAAACTACTCTTCTGCAGGAGGGGTCTGGCTGATAACAAGAAAGCGTGGTCTTAGTGCTCAAAACCCAGAAGTGACTTTACTTTCCACTGCCAACACAAGGCCACATCAGGCCCACACACAACTTTCCCGGTGAACACAGCTGTTTCCCCTGAGGTTTTAACATTCAGGCCCAGAAACTGATAATTCAACATACCAGAGCAAAAGTGAGTGCTTCAGTGAAGCCTGCTGCTGCCAAGTCTTGTCTCAGGAGCTCTGTGAGATTATTGAGAGGGAACTAGTGGGAAAAGAAAACAATTTTTGTATCCTTCAGCTCAGTGACTATCCCAAAAATCATGGAGGTGACTTTTTAAAAAGCCATGCCAACTAGCTACATCTGGTCCTGACTGAGGAAATGAAATCCCCAATTAGGGTTGAATATGGACTCCAGGTTTGAACCTATTTCAAACCTACCCACTGCAGGTCTTTGGGTTGCTCAGATCAGATCGGCATCTGTTTTGTATCCTCTTGCAACAAGACATGACAGAATATTGTTTTAATGCTAAGACACTGTTTTCTTCCAGGAACCCTTCTGGCATACTTCTAACCATTTAACTGACAATACAGACTGTTTACTTAAGGGTGCAATCTTACTTGATTAGCTATGGTGTATGTTTTCGGAATAGTCATCTGAATGTTATTATAGCCATACGCGATTGCTGCGTCTTCTATGATATCACATGCATGGATAATGTCAGATCTTGTAGGAGGGATTTCAACCTCTATATTGTTCCCATTCCCTATGACGTGAGACTTCAAACACATCCTGGTAAGCAGCTTTGCAAGGCTTGCCGGAGTCTCACTAAAACAAAAGCAAGAATATACGCATATATTTTAAGTCTCAGATAATTTTAGTCTACAGCCGTTGCCTTTCATTTCCACCATGACTTCACTTTCAAGGGAACATTATTCATGCATTGCTGCTCCAAAAGAGTTAAGGCTCAGTCATAAATTACATTAAGAGATAAAACACTCGTTTCTAGAAGCACAAGGTTAATCTTTAGGACACTAAGCATGGAACTAACGCATAAGACTGATTAATTTCTAAAAGCTGCAGCCCCAGACTTACCTGGGGCCATTGTGCTGCCACAGGGCGACAGGCAGAACCAGGACGCAGGCTTTTCACACCTGTGTGGTATCAGACTGTGTGAGCATGGCCACTAGCCATCTGGGACTGCCTAGTAGCATCCTCTGGGCAGCCAATTACTTGCTGCCTCGTCTGCTAGCATGGGTGGGCCAGGGGAGTGCCCACGGGCTTGGGGGCCTTTCCCAGGTCTGCCCCCTTCTCTTTTGAAGGTGATGTGGCTGCTGCACTCCCCCAGTGTGCCCTTCTGTGCACTCCCCCCCCCAAGCATTCCCGGAAGATGTTAGGGCCCTGCGGGACCTTTTACAGTTCCGCAGGGTCTGCAGGACACAGTTCTTTCATCAGACATTCGACCAAGGAGTCACACCTAATTGCTAATAGCTGAACAGAAATGTAAGACCCTGTGCCCTAATACCATCATCGACAGCCTGTGCTTCACCAACATGAATTGGATTGAGATGACAGTCCTAATACCAGTGCTCACTGCATTCCTCATTATGACTGATTTGTTACTAATGTTCCACCATTGTCACATAATATTGTACACTAGCACTTCACAATTGGTTTTATATTTGTTCTGTTTTTATTTTTTTAATTTTGTTTAATTATTATTATTTTTTTAATGTTCAATTTATAGCCCGCCCTCCCCGCTACGCGGGCTCAGGGCGGCTCACAATCAGGCATAAGCCAGCACATAAAACACAATTAAAACCATTTAAAATCATTTCTACAATATTACATTATTAAGGGCTCTGGATGTTTCGGATTGATCTTCCATAAAGATGACGTATTGATGCTGCTATACTCCCTCAGTGCCGTTTGTTCTGCTTGGCGCTGTCATTCTTTCTTCCAGGGCCAGATAATAATGGTACAATAGTGGCAGCTCCTACTCAAACACCTGGCGGAAGAGCTCTGTCTTGCAGGCTCTGCGGAACTGTGCGAGCTCCCGCAGGGCCTGGATCTCCTCCGGGAGCTCATTCCACCAGGTAGGAGCCACCCCCAACCGTAGTTGCGTCCCCAACCGTAGTGCCCGTGGGGGAACATATGGGGAAAGGCGGTCCCTTAGGTATGCTGGACCCCGGCCATATAGGGCTTTAAAGGTGAGAACCAGCACTTTGAAGCGAATCCGGTACGCTATCGGCAGCCAGTGCAGCACTTTCAGGACAGGCCGGATGTGGTCCCTACTAGGAAGACCCATCAACAGCCTGGCCGCAGCATTCTGCACTAGCTGCAGCTTCCGGATTTGCGACAGAGGCAGCCCCATGTAGAGAGTGTTACAGTAGTCTAGCCTCGAGGTGACCGTCGCATGGATCACTGTGGCCAAGTCACTGCGGTCGAGGAAGGGAACCAACTGCCGCACCAGCCGGAGGTGGTAAAAAGCTGACTTAGCAGTGGCTGACACCTGGGCCTCCATAGTTAGCGAGGAGTCCAGGAGCACTCCCAAACTCCTAACCTCCGGCGCTGGCACCAAAGGCACCCCATCGAAGGTCAGGAGAGGGAGCCCCAACCCCAGACCACCCCGACTCAGGCCCAGGACCTCCGTCTTCGCTGGGTTTAACTTCAGCCGACTCAGTCAGAGCCAACCAGCCACGGCTTGCAACGCCCGGTGCAGATGTTCTGGACTAGAGTCCGACCGGCCGCCCAACATCAGATAGAGCTGGGTGTCATCTGCATATTTTTATGTAAGCCATCCTGAGCCTGCTTTGGTGGAGAGGGTGGGGTATAAATTGAATGAATAAATAAATAAGCAAATAATAAACATTGCTCCAGACATGGCAGAAAAGAAGCCCTCAAACAAAAAAGGAAGTGTGAAGAAGTAAGACTGTCCAAGATCTAAACCAGGAAGTTTTCACCAGGGAAAATTAAGAACTTGCTTCAAAGTTCTGGCTTGGTTCCAAGGGTGCAAGGACTTCAACCTGCCGAGTATTATTTTTCCTACCTCTCCCCTTCCATGGAAGCCTGAAATGCTCCCCAAACCCTGTTCTTAGGGGTCCCTCTCCCACATGAACAGGATTTCAGGAAGCATTACAGGCAACTGCAGCAGGCAGTAGGCATGAAAATTATGCTCCGAGGGTGGGAGTCCTTGTACCTGTGAAAAAGTTAGCGTGGATCCTTCCCTCTGTCCTATACAATGCTCCTTGCATAATCTTTCAAAACAGATATGCTTTCAGTGGGCAAGAATGGGGTGGGTGGTTCTCCCCCCCCCCCCCACTGATTGATACTACAGACTACTATCTAGTCTTATAGAGAAGGGCAATGGTTTCAAGCAGCTGATGCCAAAGTAACAATGCCACACCAAAGAACAAAAATAATTTGAGAAACTATAGAAGGGGAACAGAGAGAAGACTGCTACCAAAATCTAGCTTCCACATTTAACAAGACACTATTGTGATTTACAGCATGCAGCTTTGGCAGCATTATATGGACCCAGCAGACACGAATGGATTAATCATTATGCTGAATACATTGCAGAGTGAAGCTGAAGCTCTTGGGCTCCTGCTAGAACAAGGTGCCTGTCCTATCACTACCCAAGCCAGAAAAGCAAGGCAATCAGGTGTTTCACAGCACAGCTATAAATGCTAAACAGCAGCATTTATATGAGAACAATGAAGGCACATGACAACTGAGAACTAACATCTCCCTTATAAATAAAAGCCGAATGGTAGTGGCACTTCTCTAGAACATTCCACACGCTCCAAAATCAGTTCGCTCTCTGATCTGTCATTCAGAGGGTCTCCCTATCCACTGGCTGCTTTGCCTGAGTCCTGCCTCCAACATTCTAAACATTTTGCTTTTCCTCCCCCCCCCCCTAGCCAGAACACAGAGATGATTTGCATATGCGACTTGATTGGCTTTTGCCTCTAACATTCTAAACAGTTTTGCTCTTCTGAGGTAAAATGTGTCCAATCTCCAGGTGAGGGCTGGAGATCACTCAGAATTACAACTGCTTTCCAGATGGCAGAGATCAGTTCCCCTGGAGGAAATGGTGGGCTCTGTATCCTTATATGCTGCTGAGGTGGCCCCCGTATGACAGCCAATGTGACGTAGCAGTCAGGGATTCAGAGCATGGGAGAGGCTGCAGGTGTGTGGGGGAGTGGAAAGCTGAAGAGTGAGGGGGAAATAAAGGTAGGTTGATGGTTGGCTGGGAAGGAGATAGGGTTGCCAACTCCAGGTGGGAAATTCCTGGAGATGTGAGGAATGGAGCCTGGAGAGGGTGAGGTTTCAGGAGGCGTGGGACCTTGGACAGGTACAAAGCCATAGACTCCACCATCCAAACCAACTATTCCCTTCTGGGGAATCATTGTTGTCAATCTCCAGGTGAGGACTGGAGATCACTCAAAATTACAACTGTTCTTTAGGTAACAGAGATCAGTTCCTCTGGAGAAAATGGTGGACTCAGTGTCATTATACCCTGTTGAGGTCACCACAGCAAATTGACACTGAGTGTCCAAGCCAGGGCACCCGCCCAGAGCCTCTTTCCAGAGGCCGTTGTATTTATTTCCACAACGGGCCTTTTTCCTAGTTAAACTATAAATCAGGGCTCCCCAAATTCCAGGCACCAGGTTTCCATGGTGTGTAGAAATTTCACTGGGGGGACTATTATTTGCAGCAATGATTTTATTGTACCACCTTTCAGTGATCCTCAGTAGAACAAAGATTATTTATCATCTAACATCACAATGCTTTATTGTACAACAAACATGCATCTGCATGAAGCTCTTGTCATTGCTGGCTTTTATGTTGTAAATGTACACCATTTGAGGGTGGTAGTTGAATTCATTTCTTAACCAGTTGCTTTCTATACTGGCACCAATCTACTTTTGAAAGAAACAATGGAATTATTGGGGATAAATTAGGTTAGGGTTAGAGATTAGCTATTTGTTGTGGTGACGACAAACTGAGTTATGCCATATTTACTTATACACTAAAACATAGCTTTAATAAAATTATGAGAAACTGGGAAGAGTTTAGGATTAGGTTTTCTGGTAATAACAACTGGAAGATAGGGTTGTTAAAATAAAACCCTGAGGTGTGAAAAATGAATCTGGCCCCTAATGTTTTGGGCTGACTGTTGGAACCACAGAAAGTTTGCCACGGTCTGGTACAAGCAGTTTCTCCCAGAAAGGAGAATTCCAGTCTGACATCCCCATCTGTATCCCCAACATGATGTAGGTGTAGCCACATACTTCCCGCACTTCTCAAAGATAGATAAGATTAATTTACCTAATTCCTATTTTCTTGTTCATTATGTCAGGTTTTATCTTTTCTCGACGATAAGCCAGCTCCTGGAAAAGAGGGAGAAATGTCTTTAACAAGTTCACTTTCTAAGAACATTAGAATTTTATGGCATGAAAGAAGTAGCTGTCTCCAGATGTTTAACCCAAACATCTGGAAATCAAGGGTATACAACTTTTTAACCATAACTAACTATTTTGGCTCAGAACTGCTAAGATACATATTTTCCACACACCAGTCAAATTCTTCTTAGAAACCACCTAACCTAGTAGCCATCAAGACACTCTATGGCAATGAATTCCAAAATTAACCACTGAATAAGTTCCAAAAGGATCTCTTTAAACTGGCAAACTGGGCATTAAAATGGCAAATGAGATTCAATGTGAGCAAGTATAGAGTTCACTTCCCTCTCTCAGAGGCTAGATTCTTCAATTTTCTGCCCCTTCACTGACTGAGCAGCCCTGGTAACATGTATTCTTCTCTCCTGAAGAAAGGTTGGCTTTCCCACCCTGTGTCAGTAAGATATAATGGCTATTTGCTCAGCCCAGGAAGCTGAGGGAAGGGGTAGGAATGCCCTTTAACTTAAACCCTTGAAAATGGCACTTGAGATGCTTTTAACATTCAAAAATAACAAAAGATTTTATTCAACATCAAAGGGAAAGGTCAGGTGAAATCTGGGGTTGAAATTACTGAGGTAAAAACATGAGAGGTTCTTAAATGATTCACAGTAACTTAGATCTTTATATTGAGAAGCTTTTGTTCCAGTGTTTTCCCAAACACTCTAGTACACTTTATTTGTATTCGCTGACTCTTTTGGTGCCCAGAAGGCTAGTACCCTCTTCCTAGTACCTAAACCTCTTCTCTTAGAACACCAGTCCACTTCTTGAGTTGTTAACACAGGCTTTTAGGTCTCTAAGGCAGTTTCTAATCACACCAGACCAGGGACCTCTGCACTCCTCAGAGATAACTCTCTGTGTGTGACTAGGTAGGGAATCATCTTTACTATAGAACAGGGGCGGCCAGACTTGCTTAACGTAAGAGCCACATAGAATGTCAGATGTTTGAGAGCCGCAAGACATGAACAAATTTTACACATTTTTACTGGGAAATATGCAAATTTGCTTTTTATTAATATTAAATGAGACTGCCAAGAATAACAACAAAAGTAGTAAAAGCTGATATTGATAATGATATTTGTTTGTCCAATGAAATTTTTTGCTAACGATATTTAGCTTCCCCAGCCGCCCTGCCAGCAGCCAAACAATATGTGTCAAAGAGCTGCATGTGGCTCTTGAGTCAAAGTTTGGCCACCCCTGCTATAGAAGGTCTATCCCCTTTCCTTTGGCCTGAATGGGAGTCTACTCTACTACCCACTTCCTTGCCAAACTCTCCCCCCAGTACTCCTGTCTGTGTTCAAACTGCTCTCAACTAATGCTGAATTCAGACTGCGTTCCGTCAAGGTAGACATCTGACTGTCAGCACTAAACCCTTTTTTGACAGGGCTATTCATAAAAAGTCTCAGTACACGTCTCTTCACAGTGAGGGCAGAAATCTGATTGAATCTCGTCTCAGCATGCAGCTTTCTCACAGGACTTTTTTCTGCTCAGCTGATGCTGACCAATCAGATTGCCTGGAGCAACCTGTCACTCAAGACTCTCTGGCTTTGTGAAGAATTAACCCTTCACAGTCTTGTGGTTGTATGTACAGCACTTTTAAGCCTCTTAAAAAGTGCAGTCTGTCAAAGATGCATATTCAGCAAATAATCCCAACTTCACATATACTCTGATGGGACCTCACCTGGCAGCAACAGACCGTAAAAGGCACCCTGAGGTGGTAGTGGATAGCTCGATGAAAATGACAACCCAGTGTGCAGCTGCTGTGAAAAAGGCAAATTCCATGCTGGCCATAATTAGAACAAGAATAGAGAATAAAACTGCCACTATCATACTACCCTTATGCAAATCTATGGTGAGACCATGCTTGGAATATTGTGTTCAGTTCTGGTCACTGCATCTGTAAAAGGATATGTCGAGCTTGAAAAGGTGCAGAAAAGAGCAACCAAAATGACCATGGAGCTAGAACCAGCTGCCTCATGAGGATTGGTTAACACTTAGTTCTGTTTAACCTAGACATGAAAGACATTTATAAAATTATGCATGTCACGTACAGAGTGGATGGGGAAAAACTCTTCTCCCTTTTCCATAATACCAGAACCCAGGGTCATCCACTGAAGCTGAAGGGTGGGAGATTCAGGACAGACAAACAGAAGTATTTCTTCACACCGTTTGTGGGACTTGCTGCTACAGCATGTGGTGATGGTTGCCAGCTTGGAAGGCTTTAAAAGGAGAGTGGACAAATTCACGGAGGACTGGGCTATCGATGGCTATTAATCATGATGTGCGCGTTGTAGTCCATGCCACTTTAGAAACTGACAATACAGTATAAAAATAAAAAATGAACAGAGCCTCTTGCTTATGAAAGTTAGACGTTTTAGGGTCATGCCAACTGTGTGAGATTATATAATTCTCTCTACTCTTTCAGTGCCCTAAAGTGAGAAAATTATACTATCTCCAGTGTACAGGAAGAAGACAAGAAAGCCCACTTGAAGATTTTAGGCCAGGCAGCTGTGGAAGAATAGTCAGAAATAGAGCCCTGTGGCACAAGAGGATGGATAACAAGTGGTACCCAGAGAACCCCTGCAGGAGACATTTGGAAAGCAGAAAGTTACATCTAGTTTACAACTCCTTTCAAAAGGATGCCTCCAAAGGCCAACCAAGAGTTCTGTATTTCATGAATGCCTTTAATTAATCATAATACTATTGTTTCTGTCATACTCACTGGGAAGTTGTAGCTTTTTCCATTGGGATAAGTTACTTCTGTTGCTTCAACACTGAGGGAGGAACAATAAACGGACTTTTAAAAATACAAGATATGGCAAATATACACACATTAACAATAAAAATAATTAGACATTTACTCACGTGAATGGCTTCTGGCAGTATTCACTGAACATCGTGACTAAGATATCAAGGACAATTTTTGCCTGAAGAAAGGAAATATACCCACATTAATCTAAGAAATATATGTGGCATTTAAACTAAAAATTACAAGTTATTCATAATAAGATACTTAACTAATGTATGAGGCTATGGAAACACACTCACACACCCAGGAGGAAAAATATCATTTAGTCCTAATGGCTAAGAGCCAATTAATTTTCTTCCACAAAATGAAGCGTACAGTACCAAGGTTGCTATAACTCTAGAGCTTTGAATGTCTTGCCCCATATATGGGTAATTAAAATTCAACTCTCAGAGGAACAAAGCCAGTACAAATGTACAGCCTATGACTTGGTGGTTTCAGAATTAGGTTACCTTTTATAACATTTTGTATCATCAGTCTAAACTATTACATCTACTTGGTTGAGAATATATTTCTGGAGACTACTAGATGCCAGTGGTAAGGTCAGCTGTAAACACATTACCTTCACTTTGCATAGGTTATTTGTCAAAAGTACTTACTTTGGTAAAGTCTGTAGCTGTACACTCAATGAACACATTTCTGGTGTTGAGATTTATTTTTGTATGGTCTCCTAAAAACATAATGGACATTTAAAATTATCTATAGTCACAATGATTTATATTCCCATTCCACATTGTGCCATCCTGCTAAAGTGAATCCTTTTTAGACAATAGGAGAACCAGTTGGGAGACCCCGTTTGTCATGTATGTTCAGGAACATTAACAGATACCTGGGGAGGTATCTTAATAAACTTCTGACAGTAGCCTCTGACATCAGAGATGGGGAACTAAATCAGCTAGTCAATCTCACAGGGGAGGCTGTGGTTTTGCATCTGCTCTTTGTCTACAGTTGGAACAGTATAAAATCTGGTGGCCCCCCAAATGCTGGGCTCCTCCATTGTCTTGGTACTGCAATGAACTCTGCACATGCTCTGAGGAACCTGCTACAGCCTAAGTAACATGTACTTAGTTGAGTTAGATCAACTGCTTTTTATTTGCAAGTCTGTGTGCTGTAATATTGTGCACTGTCCCTGAATTTGTGTTTGTCCCCTTTTCCAATCCCTTTTGGACTACAACCACTTGTTTCCCTTTTTTCTCTTTCTTTCATAATAACCCTTTTTAAAAACACATTTTTGGCTTCATTTAGTGCAATCTATTCCTCTGAGGTACTTCTCTTAATCTCTTCCCTAGGTGCTAGATCGCACAGGTGCTAGGTATTTCCATGGTTTCCACCCTGTTACTTCATTATTGGTCTACTACTGCAACAGAAGGATACCTTCTCAGCAGGTCAGTCTAGATGTTCTCATGAGAGTGGTGGCATCTGGGTACCAGGGTGCTTTCCTGGGAACCTTTGATCTAAGGGAGTTTCCAGCAAGGAAAGGCACACACACTCCTATTACAGATACCCAATAAGCAATGGGATAGGAGTGCAGAAATTAAAACCAAGTAAAAATCTGGAACAAAGGCCAGGCATCAACACAGCATCTTAAACAATGTAGAAATAATGTAACAGGATAATAATACATACACAACAGATAGTACAGTCCATAGCCCCACTTCCCTTTATTAAAGCATCTTCCTGAACCATTCCATTCTAAGAGACCTACTACTTTTACAAAAATGCTCTCCTGAATAATTCAGTTCTGTATCTGGAAAAGTGTGCATGCACATGAAAGCTCATACCTTGAATAAACCTCTGTTGGCCTTAAAGGTGCCACTGGACTCTAAGTTTGTTCTCCTGCTTCAGACCAACACAGCCGACCAACTGGATCAGTTCTGCATAGTTTGCAGAATGCCAGGCGAGTGGGAGCCTTCCTGACCTCATCAAATAGGCCCTTCTTAAGGAGGGGGCCACAACAGAAAGCACACCGACACACAGAGAAACAGCCACGTGGGTCAGTATATTGCAATGAGGAGGGGAAAGGGGATGAAACTGCCTGCTCTCTTCCAATGAGTAGAGCTGCGTTCCTGGTTAGAGAGCACCTTTCCTGCATGCAAAAGGTCCCTGGTTCAATCCCTGGCTTCTCCAGTTCAAAAAAGGGTCAGTTAGCAGGTGACATGAAAGATCTCTGCCTGAGACCTTGGAAAGCTGCTGCTCGCCAGAGTAGACCATGCTGGCTTAAATAAACCTGGCCTGGCCTGAATCCTCCAGGGCTTCTTTATGTGTTTGACTGAAAACAATCTGAGCAGCAAGAAGTTATCAGATTCAGATTCCCAACAATTTTGAGTCATAGTAGTAACAAAACATTAACTGTCACCCCGTCAATATTTTTTAGAAGGCGGCTTTCACATGAGAATTCAGAACTTCAGGGTTGCTTCACACGTTACATCACAAGCCCCGGCTTGCCACTCTACCACAGACCATATGAACACTGTATAATGGACACACACAATAATGTAAAGTGTCACGAGACCCTGTGAGGCAGAAAAAATTGCTGTGTTCTAAACACAGTTAACAGGTAATGCTCAAACTAGTATGAACATAACAATGAATTAAAGCAGAGAGTGTACACATATGTAATATTTGAGTCGGGGCATAGCAGTACCAAATTTAGACCAAAGAAGCAAAAGACAACCTTACCATTAATTATTGGTGGCATGGAAAGGACAACACCGTTGCTATCATAGATAACTGGATAAAGTGGTTCATTTTCAATAATATGCAGATAATGTCTAAGATGGCTATCTGTCTAAAATAAATGAAGCATAAATTAATGTTTGAATTATTTTCATTGGGGTGGATCCAGCAGAAAAATACTTGGAAAAAACTCGTGGAGATGATCTTTTCTTGCCTCCCCCCAAATAGCTGGCGGTTTGTTCAAAAAGTCCTCTCTGAAGATTCTAACAGTCTCACAAGCAAAATGTACCTCCTCCGCCAATGGAAACCACAAACAGAAGAGGGAGAAAGAGACAATTTCACCCAAATGGTTACTGCAGCCCCTCACCCTGTGGCACACTTTGCTTGCACAACTCTCCATATTCTCAAAGAAGAGTTGTAGAACATCCAGCAGGCTGCTTGGAAAAGGTAGAGAAAGATCGTCTATCAACACCTTCTGAGAACTCTTCTGATGGAGCTAACCAATCCAATCTTACTACAAGACAGAAACCAAGCATTATAAATGTATGAGACCTACAACTGTGTTAAATAAAAAGGAAACAACAGTAATGCTTCCAACAGAGTGAAGATTCAATATATATTTCATAGCTTAAAGAATCTGACTAGGGAACAATGTGCACACACTGACTGGGGCATGGGGTGAAGAATGATACTGTGTTCTTTTCACAATGTCTTCCTTTCAGTGGCTCACTATGGCACAAACCCTCTTCATCTACAAAAGAAACCCAAAACTTTTTGGTGTAGCACTGCTGTTTTATATAAAATCACCTTCCTCTGCTGGGTTCACAGGTTTACATGACAAAAATGAAAATGTCAGACTCAAAGTAAGTAATTGGGGGAGAAGATTTTCCACTATTTACTTTCCCAGGAAATAGCAGTTTAAGCCTCTTCACCTCAAAAATCATATTCTCATCACATTACACTTTTTAAAAATCCTCCTAAACAGTCAGCAGTATCTATTCAGAGCCCTTTCCTTCTCCTTTCCCTGCCCAAAGTACAGCACAGATAGCACTGTGACACTATGAACACCCCCAGCACACAAGGAGGCAGACAGACTGCCTTGTAAGGGCAGAAGAGGAACCTCTCTGTCTACTTCACGCTCCAGGCCATGCGCCAAAGGAAAGAAAATACTAATATACAATTAAAATTATATGTCCAAGCAAAATTGTATGTTCACATAAATTACAACATCCTTCTGGCAATGGCTCAGATCAACACAATCAAAAACAGGGAAATAAACCTACAACCACACCAAACAATGAAACAAACAAGTTACAGCTTATTAGTTAATGGACTATTTCAGAGCTTGAGCTCCTAGGTCTATAAATTCCAGGAATTAACACTTTACAGGATTATTTAGCACTGAGATATTTATTTATTTATTTTGAGATTTTTATTCCACTCTCCCCAAAGCAGACTCAGGGTGGATCACAAGAAACCGAGTCCAAGACTCAGTACAATAAAATCACATTAAAATCATTAAAACGCCAAACAATAAAAGTCACACAGGCAGCAGCAGTTTCATATAAATCTGTTAGGGCCACAGGGTGCAATCAAATGGGCCCTTTCAGCGAACTGGGAACTAGAGCAGGGAGGCCAACTAAAATAGATGCTGCTGCCTCACCCGAAGGGCTGACGGAACAGCTCCATTTTGCAGGCCCTGTGGAATGACGGAAGATCCTGCAGGGACTATGCCTGCTTAGACTATGTTTATTTTAGATGTGTGCATTTACAGATTGGTGGCACTTACAACATGTGCATGCAATTTTAGTACCCATAAGGCAATTTCTCTAACATTAATTCCACTGCTTTGTTTTACATCATAAGCTACCTGAATTCCTTATTTAGTTACTAACTTTGGTGTTGTATACAACTGTACCGCCAACACTATTTTTTTACTGTTATTTTTATTTCACAGAAGATGGCAATTATTTTCTTGCCACTATATTTCACCAGCTATCAATAAAAAGCATTTTAGTGAGGTTGGGTGGTGGAAAGTGCCAGCAAGCTGCAGCCGACTTACAGCAACTCCGTAGGGTTTTTAAGGCAAGAGATGTTCAGAGGTGGTTTGCCATTGCACACCACTGTATAGCGACTCTGGACTGCCTTTGTGGTCTCCCATCCAAATATTAACCAGCAAAGACCCTGCTTAGGTCTAAGATCTGGCCTATACTGGGCCATCCAAGTGAGCTTGCAAATATATTACACAGTGGAAGTAGCGTGTCATGGTCGGTAAAAATCTTTACACATTTTTGTTTATTTATTTATCTATCTATGATTTATACCCCACCCTCCCCGCTTTACAGCAGGCTCGGGGCGGCTTACACTAGTAAATACCATACAATTAAAATCACATAAAATAATCTAAAACAGTTAAACTATAAACAGTCATAATTTATAAAGTGCTACATAATAAATAGTTGTTATAAGATGGCATAGAAGAGTGTACACAGATCTCACCATCATTCTGCTCAAGATCTTCCTGACAATCGGGCGGTGCAGGCTAGGTGTTTAGAACCAAGGGCCAAGGCAATAATTAAAGCTGTTAGCGTGGTGGTGGCTCCTAATTAAAAGCCTGGTGGAAGAGCTCCGTCTTGCAGGCCCTGCGAAACTGCAGAAGATCCCACAGGGCCCTGATCTCTTCCAGGAGTTCATTCCACCAGTATGGAGCCGCCACTGAGAAGGCCCTGGCCATAGCAAGCCTGGCATCTTTGGGGCCCGGGAGGGTCAGTCTGTTTTGTGACCTCAACCATAGTGCTCTCTGGGGTAGATATGGGGAAAGGCAGTCCCTCAGGTATGTTGGACCCTGGCCATATAGGGCTTTAAAGGTAAGAACCAGCACCTTGAAGCAAATTCAGTACGCTGTTGGCAGCCAGTGCAGTTAACATACTTTTTCAAATTATCTTTTATTATTTATAGTACATCAGAAGATAAAATAATGTTCATTTTTCTATATACCCTTAGGTTTTCCAAAACAAGGCATGTAAAGAGTTATTTAAGGGGCTTAGCCCAACTGTATATTGTGTTTTTACTCTTAATATTTTATTACATACGGACATATAAATGCTTTTATAAAAGAAAACACTGAAAAAGACTGTTGAAATGTGTTTGAGCTACACGATCTCTTAACCTAAATATGTTCTTTTGTCTGTATGATACTTAATTTTTGCTACATATGTTTTGTGTATTTATTAAAGCATAATTGTTTTACCACGGTTATATATGACCTTACAACAATTCAGTTCCGATATCATTGCAGCCCATAATTAAGGAAGACTGATGATAGGTTGGGGCAATGTTTAGGTTTACAAACTACAATTACAACGGTTTCTCCACTCCCAAAAGATGCAGGACTGCGGAGACACAAGTAAAGCTGGAAAAAAAAAAACAGAAGCTGAAAAGCAGATCTATTTGTGCAATCCTATGCAACGTTACTCCAAAATTACTCAATGGGTTGGTTATGGAGTAGCTCAGGACAGAACTGCGTTGTAGCTCATGATTTATCTATTGCAAATTCTGAAGTTTTAATATAATAAGAATTTTAAACATCTGTTAGCACGAAAACATGGATTGGTACAATGTTGGAACTAAGCTTGTCTGTGTTTTGGGAACCAAAGTTGTTTGTGCTTACACTATTCTCATCACACGTTATTTCTTTTGGTGACAGTGCAATATACCACAGTCACTAAAAGAGTGCCCAAGAACCCAGTTATGTGCCCACAAGAACTTGGTTTGGTTCTCCTCCCCCCCCCCCCCAGCACTCCAGTGTTTCAAAACCAATTTTCTACATGGGCCAACTGAGAAATAAGCCCAAACGCTGTACGACTGTGGACAGTGTTACTGACTTACATTTGTAATCCCTCTGAAGATAGGTGTTGTTTTTTTTAAAAAAAAGACACTTACCCTGTACAGATCCATGATCTCAGAGGCAGTATACTCCTTGTCCTGATTCAAAGGTTTGAATTTAATTTCAGATGGTGGTTTAGCAGTATATATAAATGGGCCTGAAACAGTGTCTAAATCATGGGTTCCAATTGCTACTAATGATCTTTTCCTAATAGAAAAACAAGGTAGATTATCAATGAATATTCCACCCATCCTTAATGTGCTCATAAAAGTCAACAGAAAATGCATAAACAGAACCTTTCTAAAAATATTGCTAAAATTGTTATCGTTTAATGGTCTCACCATGTTAAAACGAGTTCTGAATGGTACAGAGTAAAATGAATATAAAATATGACTGTTTAAAAAGATTCACCCAAGAAGCCTTCTCAGTTAAAGCTACCCTAAATATAATTTACAAGCTTGGGACATATGAGAACTCTTGGGCAAGGGGGCATCCCGTCCCCCCGCTTTTGTTTTCTCCCCTCCCCCACCCCTTCTCTTATACAGTCTCTCTTTCACACTCTTATCCTCCTTCCCCCACCCCTTCACAGGAAAGCCCGAGTCCAGAGAGATTAATGGGGAGAATAGTCACGAGTCCCATCCTCCCCCTATTCACTTAGCAAGCCCACTACTTACCAGTTAGCCCACCCAGCTGCAGCATGTCCACTTCTGCTGATGTGGCAGTGGGAATGCAGCAGCATCCACGGTTGATGTGCTTGAGCAGACGATATTTCTCTGGGGGGTTTTTTGGGGGGAGGGAGGGGGATAAATTCCCTGACCTATTTCTTGAACATTCACATTTTTCTGCAAAGCTAGGGTGCCTCCCAAGTTCGCAAAAAAAATTGTCCCTTCTTTCTACAAGGCCTCAATCCACAGATATTAGTATGGCAGGATAGGACACGTTGAGAATTAGATACCCACAGTACTTTCAAAATATTGCTTTAAAACATTTTCCTGAACTATAAAACCAATAGTACTACATTTGCAAGATATCATTTGATATGTCAGCATTAAAAAACAAATGTAATAATTGTTTGGCCTCATATATTATTTCCAACTAACCTGCATATGTTCTGATGTAATTTTTCTTGAAGGTCAATTAAACTATCATAGCGGTCCTTGGTCAAAGTTATGTTACGAAGAACTGCAGCCACAGCAAAAGGACGGACTTGGGCAGTCTGAAATGTACATGGATACAATTTCAGGCTACAGAAAATTTGGGGGGAAAATCCGTCCCACTACTAAGAAAATGTTATTTTGTTAACACAACCAAAATTCTCAAAACCACCAAACTCTAGAATAAGAAATTACACAACAGCAACTAAAGATCAGCCAGGACTCAAAGCATTAGTCATCTAGTTCTGTACATCCACGGCCCCATTCAGCCCACAGACTCTTACCCACCCATCAGCTGCAATCTCATTTTTGAACACTCAGTCAAAACAAATGACGTTAAACAGATAAAAATTAATATATCTACATTCACATAAAGGCATCATTGATTATAGTTAAATGATCATACAAACAGTGAAGATATTTAAAGTGTAGGAACACTGTTCTTGTCTCTTGCCCTGCTTTCCAACAAGTATGTCAAATACTTTTTGTTCATCTCAGTATCATGCTCAGGTTTATCTTACAAACTTACTTACCTCTTCCATAATGGAAAGTCTTTGGAGTTCACCAGTAGGCAGTGTGATCCTTTTGTATCGTGGGGCCCTTATTCTAAAACAGTAATGGTAAACAGTTGTCAGTTTACCATTAAAGGTAGATTTTATACAAATAAAAGAGATTGAAATATTCCAGTATCCTACTGAATCCTCCCCCATTCTCTTCTAACATGCATTGCTCTCAGTTGCAACTCCTGATCCAAACAATTACCCTTCTAGTCAGGCACTTCCTCCATGCATAGGACACTGAGTAGATGGTACATTACATATTTTAATAGCACCAAATATTCATTTTTAAGCATGTGAGATTTCCTCTCAACAGCTCACTTTTAAGGGAATAATTAAAATGCATCAATACTCCGCAGGGCCATATGCTTCATTGTGGACACACCACAGCCAAATGTAGGAGATATTCTTCTAGATTGGGTCCCACATATGCAAAAGTTTGCTATGCAAGATAACGCAACCAAATCCCAGCACCTCAGACTGTATAGCTGCCAACGGAATCATATGCATCCATTTGCCAAACGGCTGTTTGTTGTTGTTGTCCCTGATACCACTGATGAACCATGAATGGAGGGACCAGATTCCAGCCCTTCATCTTTCCCCAACCAAGTGAGGAACACTGCCAGACCTCATAGTGCAACCACTAGTTTGGTAAATACACATAGAGATGGAAACACACACATATTCACATGAGAAAGTAGGCTAAGGGGACTGGAGTCAAGCATCTTTAAGATGCCATTTGGACTACTCCTCATTCTTAAACTGCACATTGAACTATTTAAACAAGCCTTGAAGTCTAATGAGAGTTAAGTGTCATGCAGCAAAATCCCATACATGTTTTCAATTGTGGTGTATTCTAAAGCGTTGGGATCTGTAGAACACTGTTTTGCAAGAAGGACCAAAAATAAACAGATGTGTATTCAATTAGTGCCTAGAGAAATTATGTACACATCACAGAGCTATAAAATACTGACTTTCCAGAAATCTTGAATTTGTAAACTGAAATTAAGAAAAGTGAGAATAAAGTGAAATTTATGTCAACAACGTGTATGTGTAATCGTTTCTTAACTTTTTGCAATACATTTAGAAGGCTCTACAGATACGCCTTGCTCACGTAACTCTTGTTTAAACAAAAAACATACTTTACAGCAGGGTGGTGTTGAATAGATGCCAAAGCCAGTTAAATAATTTTTTTTAAACTTTGGGATTGTGTTGAGCATGCCACCAGTTGTCATGAAAATAATCCTTTACGGATTAATTCCCTTGGGTGATTGAGGAATAGCACAGCGGCAAAAAACACAGAGACAATAAGAACATTAAGAAAACACAGCACTTTATAAATAATGTCCTATATTTTATCCCTTTCATTCTATATTTTCTATTGTAAAAATGACTCCAACGCCATCAAGAGCTGCAATCTACAAAGCAAACTGACAAAACATTACAATGGGGGGGGGGCATGGAACACCACAGAGCCATTGACCTTGTTATGATTGACAAATGCATCCAATATGGAGTTGTAGAAGATTTTTACAAAAGCTTTATCCATTTTGCTGTACTTCCCTAGGTCAATTTGATGCCACTTGAGCAACTCTGACATCTACTGTCACAATACACAAAAAATGTTCATGTCTTTTAAGAAAACTAAAATGACTGCTTAGTAATCAGGTCATGATCCACACAGGCTATTACCCATTTAATACTTAACATCTCCAGATGCTGCATTACCTCTCTTTAAATACTTGAAGACCTCTGACTAGACCTTCCAAACAAAGGAGATCATATCGGTTAGCTGGAACATCAATTTTATAGAGAATGATTTCAGAAGCACCCTCTGCCTTTCCATCCCCTTGCTCTTTGTTTATTATTTCCTTTTCAGAAGTCTGAAATAAAGCAGAAAATGTATGCTTTGAAAAAAGAATACACAAATGAAGAAATATACTACATTAAAAAAATGCTCTCATACTGAAAGAAGCAGATCCCTAAAAGGGCTTATGCAGAAAAATAGTTTAAACTTAAATTCTGGAAATCAAAAGACATTTGTTAGTACCAGTCAGAGATGACCTGAGCGATGTAATGCCTGAGGCAGAAAATCTTGATGGCGCCCTTCAACAGTAAGGTAAAGGTAAAGGTAAAGGTTCCCTTGCTCGAAAGCCAGTAGAGTACAACTCTAGGGTTGCGGTGCTCATCTCCGTTTCAAAGCCGAAGAGCCAGCGCTGTCCGAAGACGTTTCCGTGGTCATGTGGCCGGCATGACTAAACACCAAGGTGCACAGAACGCTGTTACCTTCCCACCGAAGTGGTACCTATTTATCTACTTGCAATTTGTTGCTTTCGAACTGCTAAGTTGGTAGGAGCTGGAAGTAGAGACGGGAGCTCACTCAGTCATGCGGCACACTCGGGTCTTGAACTGCTGAACTACTCACCTTCCACAGCCTGCAATTCAGCGTCTTAACCACTTGAGTATATAATAAAGTCCATTTGTGAATGTTAATGGGGTCCCAAACAATATTCCCTGTAAGCTGCGGAGTCTTGGGAGCAGAAATTCAGCCTCGTGAGCTAAAGGAGCCATCAGCATCAAGGCCATGATTACGCTCACACCTGACCATCGCATAAATCAGTTTTTTGGAAGCCTTGTAAAAATCTCAGAATTAGCTCTTTTAAACTATATTTTAAGGATAAACTATATTTTAAGGCATATGACTCTGCCAGCTTGCTCCAGATTCTAGTCCAGTTCTCTAATCACTACACCTCACTGGCTTTCAGGGTAATAAAGGAACCCTGCTCCAGGGAAACAAAGCGGCCCATTGCCCTACCTCGCTGGAGGACAAAAGAGTTGGTAGGAAGAATGAGTTGAAACCGTAAACGACCAGTTGTTGTGCATAGTAAAACCTCCGAGGACAAACTCAAAATCAATTAATTTTTCCCCATAACATGTTTTCCTACATACACAACACAGCCTTTCAGCTGTAGATATATGAGCTTGTTGTTATATGGGAAACAATCTTCTTTTAATATCTACTAGCTTTTTAAGATGTTTGAGACTTGCAGATTCAGCCTAGAAACAACAGAAAACATTAAATGTAAATATATTTTGGCTGTTATTAATGCATAAGGTGGCAAGATATTTTACTTCCATATTTTGCCTGTTGCCTTATTTTGGACCCTGTAGGATCTATTTCCCATCCTTTTTCTTGAGTTGGAGGCTCTGCAGCAAAGCTTCCAATTCGCTTTTCTGCCAAGTAGATGTGCCATTATATCCCACAAAGTCACCTAACAACTTCACAGTGTTTAATTTTGTTGTTCCTGCTGGCAATATTTTTTTAGAAAAGTTCTCAAGATGGCTTTCACTATCCATGGCTCCTCCCATCATCCACTGCTGTTGAGCCTCATCCTGTCTGCCTTAGCTAATGAAACAGTTGGGTCCTATTAAAATCTATCTAGGCATCCCTGAACTGAAAGCTCAGTGAACACGAAATGTCATGCTAGAAGTAGTATTTGCCTGCCACTGAGCTTGCCCACCCAGGGCAGGAGATATCACCGCATTTTTATTCCTGATGGGCTCATAACCAAATTGGAAATCCAGAGGCTGCAGTTTTCCAATCCAAAAATGAAAAAGTGGTTTTGAAAGAAGGGAGGCAATGAAACATCATAAAGCAAGCAAGACATAGTGGAACAGCCTTGAATTATACCATGCATTCTCCCTACAGTTTCTGGAAGGTTGTTTCTCCCCCAAAACTGAAGTAGAAGGGATGGTATGAAGTTTTGGTTGGGGCTTCTAGTTAACTAGAGCACTTGTTAAACTCATTGGGGATAGGTTTTTTCTCTCCCCTCCCCACCCCCTTTGTTGGGATGTTGGTCCCAAGTCTCCCAGCATTGGTTCCTAACTTACTGTAGGGTTGGAGGCTGAAGGGAGCACAGAGTCTCAACTGGGGAGAGAGCCTCAGCCCGGAGCCGTTGCCCACCCCCCTCTGCGACCTCCAAGTCAGCCAGCACCCGCACCCTACCTGCCTTCCCAGTTCACTCAGCTTCCCTTCACTCACTGACTCACGCCAACGAGCAAGTGAACTGGGAAGGCAGGTAGGGAGCGGGTGCTGGCTGACTTGAAAGCTGCAGAGGGGGGTGGGCAACGGCTCCGGGCTGGGACTCTCTCCCCATCCGTCCCAGCTGAGCCGGCAAAGAGAGCAGTGTCCTGGCTCCAGGGGGAAGGCAACTGCCTGCCAGGAGCCCAGGCAGCTTGGAGCAGGCACTTACAGAGACTCGTCTCTTTAAGCATCTGCTTCAAGCAGCTGAGCTGGAGTGCGGGGCTGCTGGAGAGGAAGAATCCCAGTGCTTCAACTGAAAAGCTGTGCATCAAGAGGTGGAAATCCATGCAAAATTATGCAGATACACATGCTAGGGGGAACTGTGGTCCCAGATACGCCATTGGATGCAAGCGTCATCATGCCACCTTCCTTTTAATATGCCTGATGCTGCTCAACAACTGTCTGGGTTGTGTCACATCTGGTCTCTGACTGGGATTTGGCAGACAGAAATTAGTTCCCACCCCCTGCCCAATTCACATCATACAGGACTCAAGCATACAGGACTCACACTGGGAGAGCAAGTTCTATGACCATATGAAGCTGTCTTACACTAAATCAAGTTCATGGTCCATCACGGTCAGTACTGTCTACTCTGAGTGGCAGCAGCTCTCTCACATCACCTGCTACCTGATCCTTTTAGCTGGTGATTGAACCGCAAACCTTCTGCATGCCAAGCAGGTGAACTGCCAGTGAGCCATGGCCCCTACATGGCCCATCTTTCATTATCTGCTCATAAAGGAAGTTAAGAATTCCGTAAAGGGAGTTAATAATTCAACACACAATTGTGGAGCTGCTAGGTGTCAAGGAACTGGACCTTCAGTTTAATTTCTTGTTTTTTCATTAGACACACTCAGGCCTCATATTAATCTCTAGGCCTGCAGATGGGTTGAAGTGACCAAACTGGAGATAACTGGGTGTTGATATTATAAGGTTGGCAAATCGACCTTGTGACCTTTGGATAGCCACTGCCTCTTTCAATTGGTGCTGTGATTTACACTACGCGAGGGATGGGTGAGATTGCAGATAACCCCTCCATCCCAACATAAAGTGACCCCTTCCTGGCCCATCTGTTTTAAGAGGTTCATGTCACTATAAGTTCAGTGGTCTGATTTTTCATTGTGCTAAAAGGCCCCAGCCCACTCAAATCTTAGGCCTTAAAGTTTAGTTTCTGTTCTTTGTCATAGCTAGCCTCAGCTATCATGAGTTATGATGAGCTAACCTCAGAATGGTTATCTCATTCCAGTAACTTAGACCATAAGAATCCACCTACTAGGTTAATTGTTGTGGAAGATCATTCTGCAAGTGGTTAACCTTGCAGGGCTGACTTTCTTGTTAAACCCAGTAAGGTTAGAAGCTTGCTCCTTAGCTTCTGACTGTGTGGGCAGTCCAAGGGGCTGGTGGCAGATACCAGAACTGGTGAGTGTATGGACACACATCCCAGGGTTTTTTGTAATTTTGTGCTCTGCCAGCCAGTACCAATGATCCCTTGGATTGCAGATTCTTGACACTAGGTTTCTCTTGATTGTGTCACAGTCCATCCTGAAGTGAAGTGGTGCTGTGTTTCTTTTGTTACTTTCCTTGCTGTATTCTATCAGTGGGTGAAAGCATCAAGTCATCAGGGAGGTGTGCTGATGTTAGCATGCATTAGTTCCATCTACGATTGTCACAGGAGTGTCATCTGAATCCCACTCTATGATTTTTGGGCTGCTGCAGGGTTTCCAACTGCACTCAGCTCTTTGAAGCTGGGCCATATTTTGTATATATTTTCCTTCTACTGCGACAGCATAGGATACAATCTAGTCCAACAGTACTGAACAGACACTGTACCAGCATCAGAGGATTGGTTTGGGGCTTTTATGTCCTGTTATGCCTTCACTTAAATAGAGCAACATTGCCACATCAGCCCCTGAATAGGCTGGCAGGAAAAACAAAAAATACAGGCTATTCAAGATGTTATCTTGGAGATGGGAAAAGAATGTACCTGGAAAGCTGAACAGGATATGAAGAACTAAAAGAACATCCCGTAATAGTTAATCTGAGGCTTCAGTATAACAGTATACAGGTCACAAAAACTCAGTCCTATAATAGAATCAGGTGGGTAGCCATATCTGAAGAAGTGTGCATGTACACAAACACTTATACCCAGAATAAAACTTTGTTGGTCTTAAAGATGCCACTGGACTCAAACTTTATATCCTATAATATTTAGGAGCAAATCTTTGTTGGACAACAATTGGATTACCCATGCTATATCTTCACTGGTTTTACAAGCTGATACGGACATAAAAATACTTACAATTTCATCAAGCTCCAAGCCAAACTCAAAGCAGAGTTCATCAAATTCTTCATCCGCTGAAAATAAATTCTGGTATTAGTTTGGGCATGCATAAAAATTTATGTCAAAGCTGTTCTACCTATCTGGGAAAAAAGCTTTTAGATGAGAAACTGTCAATATTTTTATTGACAATATTTTTATTGACAGAGGCAGCCAGGGAAAAAATCCTAAGTTTTTAGAAATGCAGTTGATAAATTATATCTTAACATGTCCTACTGTAAAGAACGACAACAAAGTTGTATCTGCGGGAAGGAAAGAAGAAACACAGTGACAATTTTTATTTTTTGCTTTTCTATCTTTGCTTCCGCAGCATGATTATTTGGTATACAGTTCCTAATTTGTGAACAGACAAGAGGTTTTTTTCCTCACCTACCACTGCCCTGTATCCCACTACATATATGACCTTCTTTTCACTCTTCTTTCCCCCTTCTTTGCCATACCATAAATAAGACAATTAATAATCTTAATGCATTTTCAGTTCCTTCTATTACCAGGCTTCCTTTTCACCTACTATGCTGAAGAAAACTGTAACTTATAGAACAAAGAGAAAGTCTAGAACCTTTCTTTCCTATTTGCAGAAGAATTTTTTTAAAAATATAGACATCCAAAACTGGAATCTACTGCTTGAAGTCTGAGGTGGCACAGTCAATGCGGCCACTACCATACCATCTCTTTATCTTGCATAGTGAGCAAGGCTTTAGAGCTCTTCCCGCAACAGAGCGCACTTCAACTGCTCATTTTCCTTACCAAACCCTTCCTTGTCAATTCCTTGTCAATTCCACCTCATACAGCGCCTTTTCCTGGGAGCTTCCTCAACCCACCTACCATTTTCTCTAACTTTGTTCACAAATTACAGTGAATTCATGCATAATACATGCAGTGTATTCCTGTTGTTTCTTTATACATGCACTTACATTCAACGCACATAGAGCGGAAAGTGTGACTTAACACCCCACCACCACCACCACCACCCATACAGGTCCCCAGTTTCATTTGTAACGTGAACACATGTTGGCTCCTTCTTACAAGCAGGGGTACGTGCAGGTTGTACGTGCATTCAATATAACATGCGTGAGTTCAAGGATGCCCAACCACCCCTGACACAGGCACGCCGCTCCCTTCCCCTCTCACACTTACTGTAACTCCTTCCCAGTGCCTGGAAAAGCAAATCCCGCTTCACACTGACAGTCGGCATGGTAGACAGCAAGAGAAGCCGACGCCAGCTCTTTGGAACCACTGCGCATGCGTCCCCACGAAGGCCCGCCCCCTCCAAGCGCCGGTCGGTCCTTCCATTCCCAACTACTGTTTTCCTATCCGATGCCTGATCCATTCCGGCGCCGTCAGCTCCCTCTTCTGTCGTCTGTCTCAAATAAAAGCCTAACCCGGCATGAAAGTTGTCGATAGGTTCATGTCTTCAGAAGGCGCTGAACCCAAGAAGGCGAACGGGCGAGTTATGCTGAATCAGGCAAATCGTGGACACCTAAAGTTCAGAACGTTGCATCAGCCGAGGGCTCTCTTCCTGTGGTTGACATGGAAATAGAAAAGGGCAAGAGCGGTCACGCAACCAGAACTTCCGGTGAAAATGGAAAGCCTGTGTTGATCACGATTCTCTATGGACCCCGGGTGACGTCGCCCTTTTACTTCGGAGCTCTGCGGTGAAAATCCTATATACGTTACGTGGGTACCTAGAATGGAATGGCTGAAAAGAGTTGGCTCGGTTTTTTAGTAGAGGTCCCCTGGTAGCCGATTCAGTTAGTTGCAACAAAACCATAAAGGAATCTCGTGGCTCCTCTGGCATAAGCTTTTTCCGTTGACACTGAAAACTGGCAAGTCAGCTAGAAGCGACCAGCGTATTAGGCGTTTTTGCAGTCAATCAAGTAATTGATAGTTTTACTTTTGCTGCAACGTGACACACGTGCCTTACCTGAGGGTGGCTTATTTTGTTGAACTGTTGCCAACATGATTGCAAACTGATTTAGGCAAAATAGTTCAGTTGAAATGTATGAATTACCCATTATGTCACAGTTCTAGAGTCTGCGACTTACATAGCTTGTGCATAGGGTGTAGTATTTCAGCAGAGAGCTGTATCTACTGTACTGGCTTATCCCTTGAAATGGCCTTCCGGTGGCTTATGGACATTAACATTGTACCAGGCAAATAGCAACACAGTAATCCTTATACATAAACTTACATTCCTTATACATAAACTTACATAAAACTTATACATAATTCTATTTTCGAGTGGCAAGAAAATAGAATTCTATTTGTAACCTGGACTCAAACTTCTATTTTCTATGTACTCCCTCAGCCACTGGCCCATCAGCCACCACTCGAGTACTGCCTTGCCATTGGCTGGGTGCTGAGTCTGCTCCTCTTCTCTGCACACTCCCCCTTCAGCCACTGTGCTGTCAGAATTACTGGCAAAGGGCTTTCTCTTTTGGTCTCTTTTTCCTGTTTGCCTCCTGTGTGGGACTAACTTTCCCCTCCGCGGCTGTTGGTAGGTGTTACGAAATGGCAGTTACCTGTGTTTGTAAGATGGCTGTGGTTCTTTGTTTAAAATGTTCTCCCATAAGGTTTAATTGAGCTGTAGTTCCAGAGAGGGGCCTGTAGGGGTATCACTGCCTCCCAGCTGCCCCAAGGCCAAAAAGAGCAGGAAAACAGGGATGGTCCAAACAGGTGGGGTGGCATCAATATAGACTGCAGCCCATCCAGGGAGGAGGCAGTCTTCAACCCTGGGAGGCAGCAGAAATTCAGCCACTCCACAGTCAGTTGGGCAAGAGAGAGAAGCTGAAGTACAGCCAGAGGCCGGTCCAAGGAGAGATTCTATCCTGAGCCCACAACCTCTAGAGGTAGAAAGTATTGTGTGTAGGGA